TTTCCACCGAGTCTTGAGATGTTGTAATAAATACAAATGTATATAACTTTGTTTGTTCTCAAAACCGTTTATTGTGCAATGTTCCTTTCAGACAACTTGCAAAACAAGTAGAGGTTGCAACACTGCAGTGTTTGGCAGGCTGGCGTCTGGAACAGTGTATGAGCCTAAGGTCTATTAGCACATTAGAGCTTGCGGTAATGTAGGTTCACACATTAAACAAACCACCGGTTCACACGCGCTCCAGCGGCCTTCAAAGAGCCCGAAACTCCCAGGTGATTCATTGATGCAAGGAAAGAACAAACCTATATGCACGCAGGAACTCACCTGAACTCGCCAGCCGACCAGTCATATACGGCTGCAGCGAACATTGGAGTTGGAAACCGGAACGCATGCATCATACTTCGCGCTGGCCATTTCACTGGGCCAGATGCCAAGGTGGATGTGGCCTCTGCCTGCAATGCCAAGGCCAAACGGCTTGCACTGCCGCCTCCGCGAGCACACAGCCCAGCACATCAGGGCCCCCCGACAAACGGTCAGGCAAGTACGTCACCCGTTCCGGGCCCCAACCCAAGCATGGCGGGACACCATGCCACTAGCCCTGCTTCCGTTAATCAGGCATGTACAGACAGTAGTAACTCACAGTTTCCCCCGCTCGCCTTCCCTGCTCTTGATTTCGGTATGCCATGTCTTCACACACCCATTGATGTTGTCCTCTTTACTAGAGCGGCTCCACACGTTCAAAGAAGATGTCCATAAGTACCTCACGCACCATCACTGGCTGATGGCTACCGACTTCTACGGATGAACTCTTGACTGTGGTAAGGGTCATGTTCCTTGGTTCGGCTATGCTGATGATATTAGGCTTCATTTACCTTTTATTATTTAATTTTTATCATTAATTGATTAATTAGTTTGTCTTGTTTGTTATGATTTCTTAGTTTTCCACCCGGTTTAGTTATAATTTAAATTATTATTTGGTGCAGCTTTAGCGCTATGTGGTTTATTATTTTCCTTTTTCTTAAATTTGTATTTAGCGCTTTTGGGCGTCATTATTTTCTTCTCATTATTTCGCACCAAGTTATTATTTTGTGGTGTTCTCTAGCTTCTGTTTGTTTGCAGTTGTTCTTGTGCAACCTCCCCCCAAACACACATTTTTCGATGCCTAGTTGCAACGCTCACGCCGAGACCTCTGGTCGGTTGAGTTGCTCCCAGCACATCAGCACGTCGTCCATACATCCCCTATGTTTTGTCCTTTTCCTCGTTTCTTTTTGTTCTCCACCTGTATTCCAATAGGGCTGTGTCAATAGTAAAAAATAAATAAATAAAATAAAAAATAGAAAAAAGACTGCTCACTGACCATCCAGACAAGGCATTCTTCTCCCGCTTGAGCAGGGGCTTACAATCAAGATTCGGCATAGGCTTCTCTGGTCGCCGTCAGTCAGCCCCAATATCTGAGTATCTAGCAACATCCTGTGCGCAGGGAGAGACCTGCGGCCCTTTTTCCATCTCTCGATTTCCATCCTTCCAGTGCTCGGACATGGGTGTGGCGCCAAAAATAGTAATAGCAAACTACGCATTATCCACCTTATCGCCTCCCGTCGTCAATAGTGTTAAAGATGGCATCGACCCGTCCGCGTTTAGCTTGTCATATATCTGGATAGACGATGCAGCGCAAACCATTATGGCCTACGGGCAGGGTGCATTCCGGCTCGTCCCTGTGCACATATCCGACTTGTCTCTACTTGGTATTCAGTGGCAAGGGAAATGTTACTTGACCGAGTGTTGCCGTTCGGCCTACGCTCCAGCCAGTTTCTCCTCGACTAGGATGGCGGAGCCAGTGAGTGCATTACTACTAAATTTTCCATCCCTCACCTCCTTCACCATCTAGACGATTTTCTTAATATCAGCCCTCCTCAGCTAAGCCATGCTACCGAGACAAAGGATGTCATCCTGCAAGCATTCAAATACCTATCTATCCCACTAGACGAGGAGAAGCTCGAGGGCCCGTCCATATCCCTGGTCTTCCAAGGAATTCTGCTGGACACGGTGCGCATGGAAGCCCGTCCCCCCAGATGACAAACTGGCGGACCTCCGCGAGCTCCTCTGCGAGATGTCACGCTGCACCCAGACAACGCAATGCAAACTCGACCACTTCCTAGGGAAACTCTCCGTTCCGTCTAGCGTCGTCGCACCATGCAGAACATCTACACGCTTATGGGTTATCAACAAAAGGTTTAGCCGCGCCAAGCCCTATTTCCGTATCACTTTTACAGGCAACGCCAGGAAAGACATCCGCTAGTGGCAGCTTCTGACCCAGCATTGGAACGGGAAGTCATTCCTTCTCTACAACAGCAGTAGCACATCGTCGGCCGACCTTTGACTCTAAACAGACGCTAGCGGCACTCTTTGATTGGAAACACTCCACGGCACTGAGCAGTGCTGGATTCAGGACATATGGACAAAGGTGCAAGAAGGAGAAAGCATCGGATACAAAGAGCTCTACGCCCTGGCGAAGGCTTGCAGTACTTGGGGCAATCTGTGGTCCCAGCAACGTATCCTAATTCAATGCCTGAAGTCAGTCTCCAACAATTCACCCGGCATGATGTCACTGCCATGCACTTCCATTGTTATTCGTTTGTGCAACTCAACTCTTCACCAGTACTGCCCAATAATTGAATATGTACCTGGGCGTCTGAATTCGATGCTCTGACTCATTTCAACCTGCAGGCATTCCAGCAGTTGGGGCCATCGGCACAGAAAACCCCAGACACTGTAATCCGCCTCCCGCTCTTGGACTGATACCGAAGGTCGCCGACCTAGCAACCATGCCAATCGCACCGACAACGCGGCGCACGTACACCACAGGCAAAAGGAAACTCACGCAACTTTGTGCGTTGCAGAGATGGACGATGCTCAGCTGCTTTTCAGCACACCTCGAGCACAGACAATTAATCTCTACATGGCCGCATAACGCAACATGCATCTCGAAGCCGAATTCCGAGATCCAACAATGAACGCGCTGCTACTGCTACGTGTTATGCGAAGCATCAAGAGGATGGCGACTGACCAAGCAACCCAGCATACTCGCCTCCCAATCACCATTGATTTGCTGCGGAAGCTCCCTCAACCACGGGCACGTTCGAATTGTCACTCTTTGACTTTCGTTTTTCAGAAGAGGTGGCCTTATTGGCGTCTTCAGAAAAAACGAAACTCCTCGACACTCCACAACCTCATCGGATGGGAGAGGTGGATTACTTCCTAAGAGTTTGGAATAGCCACCTCACGTGGTACGTGGAGATGGTCGATCTGATCGAACTTCATCATCGCCATGACAATTCCACTGAAAAACTTTAAAATGATAGAAACCGTTCTAATGGGACACTACAACTAATCTCTTTGAAACATTTGTTCGAACAGTTGATGAAGACAATTCGAACGCGCACCAACTCAGCCTGGACCAATGGCGTCACCAGAGGACAAAAGCATGCTCAAGGCGGCAAGGGTGCTCGCCTTTTTCGGATTTCTCCCATGCGCTGAATTCTCTGCACCTCCGGCCGGGTTTGACCCTGCCACTCATGCCACGCTCTAGGATGTAACTCAATGACGCACATATATCCGCTTCCACATCAAGCAATCGAAGATGGACCAATTCCGTCAGGGCCATGCAGTGATAATCGACAGCACCACTTCACAACCTTGCCCGGTTGCCACCCTCAAGGCATATTTTGCAGTCTGTCCGTCTGACGCACTCTTAACGGCTGTAAAGCAAAAAAAAATTGTATGTATGAAGCCTAAAACGCCAGAACAAGACCTACGAGATTGGAACGGGCCCAAGCGTAGACCAATGTCACGAAACGTTGCAACGTGTATGTCGCGGAGAAATACCACATTAGCATATGCGATCGCAGCACCTCCATCAACAAGCTCGTGTCAAAGTCTAGGCACGCTGCCAAGTTCCTGTTTGGCAATAATGGAATCACGTGATTTGCAACCACATGGCATGCGACACCCAATAAGGCTGGAAAGTGCTATGTCACAGCATAGCAACAATATCAAAAATTCAAAAAACTGGATCCACTTGGATCCTGTTTGTTATGGATCCAAGCACATTTCAAGTGGTCTTACTCACAGCAAGGTGATATAGCCAGTGAAACTGACTGGTTTGGCTACAGGCTGTTTGGGGTGACAACTGGTTGCGAAGTATAAGGAACACCTGGATACGACATAAGCGGGTTGCTATGCACCCACATACTGAGACAATAGTGAAGTCACACCTTAGTAGATCCAAAATAGAAATCAGTTGTCAACTTACTACTCCCTGGCCGTTTTGACGTCATCACTTTCAAGCCCTATTGCACCCGTTTGCAGCCTTTTTAGTTTTGCTTGCCGTCGCGTCTTCATGGTCATTCCACTTCATTTTAATTTTCCTCACCTTTTCTAAGCACCTTTAGCCAACACAGTGGGTGAAAAGTTGCACCTTGCACCTGTTTGTTGGTACATTGAAGGGCAAATATCTCGCCTCCTCCAACGTATTTGAAGCGATTACCAAAGTGTGCGGCATCTTGCACCTGCATGATTGTGATTGCAAGCAAGCCACATTATCATTCTTTCACACAGCCTTGCTTGCTTTTCTAGCCTAAAAGCATAATTATTCTCTTTTCTCACGCACTGACTGTGGGAGTTTGGCACATTTTCCCTACAGGACTTTTCACAACCCCCACCATGACCTCACACCGGCGTTAGGGGTTCCCTCCTATACCACTGCATCAAATTAAAATACCATACTAGCTGTGCATCACTGTTTTCAGTTGTCTGAAGATTGCCATCTGCCATGAAACTACTAGTTACAACAAACCAGACGCGTGGCACTCTGTGACTCGTGTGGTTGTGTGTTCATGTATTTGCGTGACCACCCCTCACATACATTGAGTTAGACCGGCAAAGGGTTAAACAGGTGTTTGAACATGGCCACTTTGTATGTTCTTCATTGCATTGGGCAGATCATTTCAACTGCAATAATCCGCAAGGTCTCTTCTACATTAGCAACCCAGCTTGGACAGGGACAGTGTCCGGCGATGCTCCCACGCGCTGTACTGGTCCACATATTCTTTTACCAGATTCAGAAGCAAGTTCAACCTGCGTCCAGAATTACATTGCCCATATTAACTCTCAACTCGGGACCATGAGTACCGTATATACAGATTTGAATGGAGCAGTGTCATGCTACCCAAAGGTGTCTCCATGCCCTTCCACAGGAACGATTGTCATGTGCCGCATTACCTTACCTGCCGCTAGCAATGGTAAGGCATAAATTCCAACCCCTTACCACTTCAAAAGCGGGAAGGGAACATTTTCTAGGGTCTAAACTGTGGGAAACATGGATGCAGCAAATGGGAATTTCCGGTTTTTGACCACTTTGGTGGGTTAGATCTACTCACCTCCAACTGCTTTGGTAGCTGCATGTGCGCCTGGATCCTTGAAGGGTGGTGATGATGCGGAAACCTCGGCATTTGCTCGAATCTCACGCGAGAAGTATTTTTTTTAACTGATTAGATATGCACTGTTTGCGGGGTATCCCATAGACTGGCAGTATAAATTTAATCCTAACCTGTGTGATACACACAGCCCACCCCAAAAGGCCCTGCTACAAGATAATTCGTGTGTTTAATACACACATTGCATTGTCCACACATTCTCCGCAAACTATCGAGGATGATTTCTTAAAACTTATGTTCTAAGCGTAGCTGTAGCGGGCCGCAGTCTCTCTCGGAGGCAAAAATACAAGGGTCTCAGTGAACACACTGTAACTGGCAATTGAAATGTACTGGAAACGAAATTAACTATAACTGGCCATGAAATTAACTGATTGGCAACTAAATTAACTAACTGGCTATAAAAGAATCGTGAGCAGCAGCTTTGATACAAAGGCAGACTCCGTATGCTAATGTACGGGGATACGCTAACGTATGGGGATACAGTACGGGGATATGCTATACTCTAAAAACTAAACGCTATACGCTTTGAAATCACCAGCGTGCCAGCGATACACCGCCCCTCTCAAATACAATCACGTCCTCGTGATTCGAATACTACAGTCATGTAGGTGATAGCTGGACATCAACAACTGGCTGCTATTTAGAAAAAAAACTGGCGCCATGCATGGTCGCGTCGGAATAAACTCGACGATAAGAGATAGGCAGAATGGATGACTTGCATAATATAATACAGGTATGGAGTCGTGAACATTATAGAAGATCGCGAATGGACCGTATGCGTGTTAAAACAAAATGGCGTCACGATTTATTGAAAGTGGTATAGTTGGTGGTACGAGTGTTCAAAACCATTTGAACTTCATACTGTTCGTCTTCTTTTTGACATGCTCTCTTTCCATCGTCCTTAGCTTTTGTTTGTTGAGAGCTGTTTTGGCTTTCTCCTATACCTCTGGGGGATGCCAAGTGATGGTTTTGAGAGGCTGGTGATGGCTGTGAGCGAGAGTTTGCCGATCGGCGTCGTCCTCGCTATAGCGATGAAAATACTAGTTACTGCGCACCTGGCAGATATCACAACACGTCAGAGCGTCCAGGAGCAAAGGAATCTTGGGTTTTCACTGGAATCTAGTTCCTCCAGCATCGTGTAGCCCACCGTCGGTGAATGGCGGTCCAGAAAGGTCGAACCTGGTCTTCTGCAGCATCTCGCGGTCCTGCGAGGCACACTGAATACGCCTGTCATGTATTCTACAAATAAAAATCACGAAGTAGTGGACTTTACAGTGATGAGTCTATCCTGTATGCTGCAAAAGACGCAGGAAATGTGACTGGTGTCCGTACACTGGACGCCAATATCATCCCAGTCTTCTCCTGCAGGATCTGTTTGACATTGACATACCGGTATGCAGTGGGTCGACATTGGCCTGGTTTGGCAAGTATCTGCCTGGGTTGATGTAGCAGGTTTGCATTGGCGCGTCGTCCAGTCCGACATTTTCTTGTAACTGTGGAGTACCGGCAGGGTTTGAGAGGTTGCTCGTGCTGTGAACACATCTCTACTGCCTGTCTCGTCCTGGAAGTGCCGTCTCGCCGCTTCCCAGTCACGCCGTTATTTCGCTTTGTTTCGTGGTGCAGCTCAAAACCTGCCCAAACAACTGTGAGCTCGCAACATGGTATGGACAAATTGCACCATTCATGCTGGTTAACTAAAACCGGGATAGTCGAGTAAGCGGGTTCACTCCCTGGGCCATGGCAAGATCTGTTCAGCGCGGGCTATTCCAACCTCCAAGTGCATAGTCACCGATCGATCCATGCGATGGTGGTTGACCTACAAAGAGCCAAGGTCTACGAGTACTACTATTGGATGCTGTCTACATGCAGTCAACAAAATCAAAGTACCTCAGTATGCCCCAGAATAGGGCATGTGCATCTATAGCATGACACAACAGGGGTTCTGGCGGCACCTGTCAAACAAGCAGTAGCGACTAGTGCCAGCTACCTATTGGAGGCTAGCCGCTACAGTCTGTCACTGGAGATAGTAATTATGTTCACTGTTTAGACTGAGCACAATCAATGATGCCCAATCAATCTGCCCAATTTGTGTTCTGTTCCACCCAATTAGAACGTCCCATCGCATCAACCCTACTACACGCACATGTCGTCACTCTAGCACGACTTGTGTTATTATTGTTTATTTTGATTCGCACGATAAATAGAGCACAATAAACTTGACTTGACCGAAGGTTAAAGGTGACTGCAGATAGAGGAACACATCGAGGTACAGGTACCGGCATCAATACAGTATCAAAGAGAAACAAACAAAAATGAGAGGTACGCAGAAAAACCTCTCGTAAGCCCAAGGAGAAGTGGTTGATGAGGGATGAATGCACTCTCCACGCTCATCTACACTGTTCGTGGAAATGCACACATACATACAATAATATACAACATAGCAATAGCATGCACAGAACCGAATAATTTCATGTTCACACATGCAAGCACAGACCTGAACGTTAGTACCAAAAGCCGATACAGACAATATCCCCATGCACAAAGACGCACACACACACACACAATGTCCCATGTATGCGCCCGTGGCAAGAAAAGCACGCAAATCTACAAATGCACTGGATGTGAACCCACAGATTTTCTCTTATAGCAACGATAGCGGATCTGATTCTGAATGAAACACACACACACAATACAATCATTGAATGCTCATCCGCAGATGATGGCAGGTCCTGAAAGAACAGGCAGTGTTCCAGTGATGGGGAACAGAACTTCGAGTGGCGAGTGAGGTATACACACACACACACGTGCGTGCGCGGGCACACACTAAAGTATACAGAAATAGAATCGACATCGTAGTATTCATTGGTTGGGGAATGGAAAGGAAAATAAAACATTGCTGTAGGTTATTGTTGTAAGGACACTGGGAGCACAACAGAAAGGTAAGCAACTTGCTTTGAAGCAAAGAAAGTTATTATTCCACGGATCTCAGAAGGAAGGAACGTTCCAGAATGCTGCACTGGCAACAGGCGGCCTGCATGTGCGCCGCCCCTGCAGTCGGTCCAGCTGCAGGCCTTGCAGTGCTGAAAAGAATGTGCAGTACAGCATGTCACATAGTATCGCAGCCTGGACAAATAGGCGCTGGGAAGTCCTAGTTATGTGCTCACCTACACCACGATGCACCAATCTTCTGAGCTACTTTGGCAACAACTTTGTCCACTTGAGACTCCCATGGGCTGAGCCAGTTGTTGAGGGCTGCACCAAGGTGGACGGCAATGACCGCTGATGGCAAGGCAATCCATGACACACAGTCACTAGGGCATCGTCAACATGGCGCTGAGGCTGGATCGATAAAATCAACCTTTAGGCTGCCGCGGGGTTGACAACGAGGCCGCTGTCTCGAAGCTAGTCAGTCAGCCTGGTCACCGCCATTGACGAACCAGTCGCCACCGCCAGCAGTGGCGGTAGGTTGTGACAAGTGTGGTGCAATATTGTCAGCAAATTCAGTACTCAGGATAAGATGAGTGACAAAGGGAACGTTGTGTTTGATAATATTGAAGTGAACAGGGATGATCACAAACCCTGCGCGTACTCCACCGTGAGTTACAAGAAAATTCCGGACTGGACGACGAGCAAACACCAACCTGCTACATCCAACCACGCAGATACTATTACGATAGCTGCCAAACCAGGTCAATGCCGACCTACTGCATAATGTCAATGTCAAACAGATCCTGCAGGAGAAGACTGGGGTGTTGGCGTCCAGTCACTGAGTGTACAGACACCAGTCACATTTCCTGCGTCTTTTGCAGCATACAGGATAGACTCATCACTGTAAAGTCCACTACTTCGTGATTTTTATTTGTAGAATACATGACAGGCGTATTCAGTGTGCCTCGCAGGACTGCGAGATGCTGCAGAAGACCAGGTTCGACCTTTCTGGACCGCCATTCACCGACGGTGGGCTACACGATGCTGGAGGAACTAGATTCCAGTGAAAACCCAAGATTCCTTTGTTCCTGGACGCTCTGACGTGTTGTGATATCTGCCAGGTGCGCAGTAACTAGTATTTTCATCGCTATAGCGAGGACGACGCCGATCGGCAAACTCTTGCTCACAGCCATCACCAGCCTCTCAAAACCATCACTTGGCATCCCCCAGAGGTATAGGAGAAAGCCAAAACAGCTCTCAACAAACAAAAGCTTAGGACGATGGAAAGAGAGCATGTCAAAAAGAAGACGAACAGTATGAAGTTCAAATGGTTTTGAACACTCGTATCACCAACTATACCACTTTCAATAAATCGCGACGCCATTTTGTTTTAACATGAATATCGCGGATTACTGGGAAAGCGTCAACCGGAGTATGGCAAATAATATCGGAAATGATAACGTTTGGAATAGACAGAAGAATGAACTGATAAACAAATCATAAAGTAGAAGCACACCAGGTTCACACGATCTCACGGGGTCAAAAGGGGAAAGAACTATCCTCCAAATAGGACCTGAAAAACCACAGCACTCTTGCTGCACAACGCTGGCACACCCCGCCAGGAACATTGCAGTTCAAAAACCGAACTGAATACGCTATAACTATAATGGGCGTTGAACACACATTGTCCCACGTTAGCTGGGTAAGCCGTGGCTCACCATGATCAGACGCCTACCAAACTAAACTGGATTCACACACTCGCATAAAGGAAGACTGAAGAGAACAGGGAGACGGAAGGAAGACAGGAAAGAAAATGCCATACCTGGAATCAGCGTTAGTAACCACGGCGGCGGCTGGAGCTATGGCGGAGGGCGAGCCAGTTTGCATCTTGGTTGAGCCGGTCACTCAGAGCGGCTAGCTCGGCGTCAGACAAATAACCTCCCTCCTCGTCTTGAATCATGGTCTTCACATTGTCGATAGCATCGCTTTGCGCGACGTAAAGAGTGATGGTCTAGCCAGGAAGAGTGTTGACGAAAATCTGCATCCCACCACGGAGACGAAGTACCAAGTGAATAGTGGACTCCTGCTGAACGTTGTAGTCACTCAGGGTTCGGCCGTCTGCCAACAGCGTGCCGGCGAAAATCAAACGCTGCTGGTCTTGGGGAATACCCTCCTTGTCTTGGTCAGCAGCCTGCATATCGTCGTCCTCATCAGCTTCGCCATCACCACCGGTAGTATACATGTAGGTAGCGGGTCGCTTGGAATCGCCATCGGAGTCTCCAGTGAGGGCCGTGCGGAGAGAAGGGTGATCCACGCTAGCACCCTGACTGTGCTGCAGGCTAATAAGCAGGGCCGCGCCCAGGAAGGCAAGAAACATGATTCTCATCTTGATTCGTCGCACGGAGCTGTAGCGGGTTGAGCCATGGGGGTCCGAGAAACATGTAAGGTAACACAGTTAGGTATAGAATGAAACAAAATGAATTTACCGCTGCCACCAATTTGTAGCGGGCCGCAGTCTCTCTCGGAGGCAAAAATACTAGGGTCTCAGCGAACACACTGTAACTGGCAATTGAAATGTACTGGAAACGAAATTAAATATAACTGGCCATGAAATTAACTGATTGGCAACTAAATTAACTAACTGGCTATAAAAGAATCGTGAGCAGCAGCTTTGATACAAAGGCAGACTGGGTACGCTAATGTACGGGGATACGCTAACGTATGGGAATACAGTACGGGGATATGCTATACTCTAAACACTAAACGCTATACGCTTTGGAATCACCAGCGTGCCAACGCTACACTAACGGCTGCATAAACCATGTTTCGTCGGATAAATTGAGATATCTCTCTTTCAACAGGGTTTATGAGCGTAACAGAGTGAATGCTATTTTTTATTCATCTGCAGCTTCCACCAACCCACGATGTCCACAAAATCTACAGATCTCAAATGGCAAAGTACTGTACCCGTCAGGAAACATATTTCCATCACAATCATTCGACACATGCAACCAAGGATACTCCATCAGTGGCTTTAGACTTGCTGAGTGCAGCCCAGGGGGCACCTGGGGGAACCGTGTGGCCACTTGTATAGGTATGGTACAGGTGTATCTTGCCTGTATACTGCACAGCGAAGATAATTCTAGCTCCCGTATTTTCCGGTATATGAGCACTTTGAACACTCAAAATTCACCGACAAGGGGGTGGTGGGGTGCCGCGTATAATCAGCCAATCACATCAAAGGGGATGAAATTAAAAGGATGGATTTCTCTACTACATGGCTAAACGTGCGGTTAAACCCATGCACCACTAAAGAGGTACAGTGTCATGTATCTATTATTGCACGATTAAAGAGGTCAATATATTAAATATAGAACGAGTAAAAGACCGAGGTCCAACGAGGTCTTTTACGAGATCTATGTTTAAATATTGACCGATTATGGGGGCAATAATAGATTTATCATGACATAGCATGAAGTCGAAGACACCACTGCAGCTGTACTTATGGTTAATAAATAATTATGGTGGTAAAGACACACCTGGCAATATGGCGGTGAACAAACGCCTGCCCACACACGCTCTCTAGGCTGCAAAGTTCTGGCACAGAGCTCTCCTTCTCACCACCACCACCATCAGTTCGCGCCTGGCGCCTGGTCGATGCATGGCTGGCGGTATCCGGCATAGCAGGCTGGTACATCAAGTAGCGCATGGCACATAGATGATGACACAGCAACAACATAGCTCCTTTGCGACGTACGTTTCGTTCTAGCTGGACTCATCAGGCAATCTCCTTCTTGGATGTCTTCATACGAAGCTTGACTCGGGAGAATGAAGTCGAGGACACCACTGCAGCTGTACTTATGGTTGATAAATATGGTGGTAAAGACACACCTGGCAATATGGCGGTAAACACTCGCCTGCCCACACACGCTCTCTAGGCTGCAAAGTTCTGGCACAGAGCTCTCCTTCTCACCACCACCACCATCAGTTCGCGCCTGGCGCCTGATCAATGCATGGCTGGCGGTATCCGGCATAGCAGGCTGGTACATCAAGTAGCGCATGGCACATAGATGATGACACAGCAACGACATAGCTCGATTGCGACGTACGTTTCGTCCCCGCTGGACTCATCAGGCAATCTTTTTCTTGGATGTCTTCATACGGAGCTTGACTCGTGAGATTGAAGTCGAAAACACCACTGCAGCTGTACTTATGGTCGATAAATATGGTGGTAAAGACACACCTGGCAATATGGCGGTAAACACACGCCTGCTCACAGGCGCGCTCTAGGCTGCAAAGTTCTGGCACAGAGCTCTCCTTCTCACCACCACCACCATCAGTTCGCGCCTGGCGCCTGGTCGATGCATGGCTGGCGGTATCCGGCATAGCAGGCTGGTACAGCAAGTAGCGCATGGCACATAGATCTTCCCCCATATGATCTTCCCAGCCATGCATCGACCACGCGCCAGGCGCGAACTTATGGTGGTGGTGGTGAGAAGGAGAGCTCTGTGCCAGAACTTTGCAGCCTAGAAAGCGTGCGTGGGCAGGCGTGTGTTTACCGCCATATTGCCAGGTGTGTCTTTACCACCATATTTATCAACCATAAGTACAGCTGCATTGGTGTCTTCGACTTCATTCTCCCGAGTCCAGCTCCGTATGAAGACATCCAAGGAGAAGATTGCCTGATGAGTCCAGCGGGGACGAAACGTACGTCGCATTCGAGCTATGTCGTTGCTGTGTCCTCATCTATGGGACATGCGCTACTTGATTTGCAAGCCTGCTATGCCGGATACCGCCAGCCATGCATCGACCAGGCGCCAGGCGCGAACTGATGGTGGTGGTGGTGAGAACGAGAGCTCTGTGCCAGGACTTTGCAGCCTAGAGAGCGTGTGTGGCAGGCGTGTGTTTACCGCCATATTGCCAGATGTGTCTTTACCACCATATTTATCAACCATAAGTACAGCTGCAGTGATGTCTGCAACTTCAATCTCCCGAGTCAAGCTCCGTATGAAGACATCCAAGAAGAAGATCGCCTCATGAGTCCAGCGGGGAAGAAACGTACGTCGCAATCGAGCTATGTCGTTGCTGTGTCATCATCTATGTGCCATGCGCTACTTGATGTACCAGCCTGCTATGCCGGATACCGCCAGCCATGCATCGAGCAGGCGCCAGGCGCGAACTGATGGTGGTGGTGGTGAGAAGGAGAGCTCTGTGCCAGAACTTTGCAGCCTGGAGAGCGTGTGTGGGCAGGCGTGTGTTTACCCCCATATTGCCAGGTGTGTCTTTACCACCATATTTATCAACCATAAGTACAGCTGCAGTGATGTCTTCAACTTCATATGCCATATACATTGGACATTACTTCTCTGCAAACAGAATTTTTCAGTTGTCACTTGTAGTATGTTCCCCAAGTTCTTTGACTGAGAATCTGACAGTTTGGGTTCAAATCCCAACATTTGGCTCTGATTTCTTTCTAAGTTGAGAAAAAAGTTCAAAGTCCTCGGACTAAAGCGGGATTCACAGAAGCTTTTTTTGCGAAGCGCCACGCGATGCGACTGCCGCGAAACCGGGCAATCCCCAAAATGCAGCCATCTCGCACCCCACGCAACTGCCGCAACTGGGCCATCGCAGAAGTTGAGCTTGGCTCAACTTACGTGTCACATAGCACTTGGTTCCTCTTTTTGGGAACATTATCGAGTTGGTCACCGTGACGATCACAGCCGTGCTCAACATATCACAAGAGTTCAATAACCTAGTTGCCTAGGCTATGAAGTTGCGGGGCTTAACATTGGCCATATTTTTTGTATTTTCTTCAGAGCCTCACATGAAAGGTCCTGTAGCCCTCAATAGGTTAAACTAAAGTGCGGCTTATACTCCGGAGAATACAACAGCTGGTAGTGATATTGCAGCTTGACGATCAAAAAAGGATATGCCTCCATAGTTTTTGTTTTGTGTATTTGAAATGTACAGAAGCAAGGAGTAATAGATGGTCAACCCACCCCAAGTTTATTACTAGTACACTCGCCATGCAGACCCCATCGCGGTTGTGATATGTACCATTAGTACAGGTGTCATACCGTAAGCATTGCAGAGTTCTTGGTGGGGGATAATGTTATTACCGTCAAAAATAGCTCTTTGGAAAGTCTTGGAAAGGCCCTTTCCTAGTGTCGTGTGTGTTACTTGAAAAAAATTATCCCAAGACGATAAATTGAATGTGGACAGAAATCGTGTAGCAGTCTCCACCCAGCGATTTGTGTGTATGTGTCTCTGTTTCTTATATGAGTGTATGTCTTTCTGTTTGTGGGTATACTCATTTCCAGGATACAATTGTCCTCAACCTACAGTAGCTAACGGTCTAATCACGGGTACTGCTCCACTATATACGGCAACATGCACCAGTGGATATCTGCTATCTGGCAGCATCAATGTCACATGCCTTAATGCAACCACAAACACACCTTTACCAACATGTATCGGTATGTAATTTATCTGCGTGTCATTTGTGTTATTTGACATTCACGTGATCATGATCCGATTTCAAGAGGTTGTCACTTTGGATCAAAGCAACTCTAGGAAAATTTAAATGATTTTGTATTTGATATGTTAAATTTTGCTACTAGCCATCACAACAGTTCTCAAGTAAGAGCCAAGGATTACAGAAGCTTCCACTTTTTACATCACAATCAGGTTATGTCGTTTCAAAGTTTCAAAGTTCCGTGAAGCATAGAGGTAGTCAGTTGTTGTCTGATTATAGCTCTCCTGTTGTTCATGAACAAATCTGCTGAAGATGAAAGACTGCCACGCAATTGTTGAGCAGTTCTATGACAACAGTGAAGATGTTCAATTTCCAGTGAAATTCCTGAAGCAATAGCAAAGCACTTGAATGAAACAACATCTTAATCCTTTCTGTACCAAGGACGAGTTAAAGGGGAACTACACCCAAAAATCAAAACTTCATGGTCCGTAGAGTTTTGGACGCTGAGTCGAATGGTGAAGGTCCCACTTCGATCCGACCAAGCGTTCCTGAGATATCTTCGGTTTAAATTGTACTTTCGGGGGACGCGCCATGACGTCATGCGGCCGCGACACGCCCCCCAACACGCCCTTCTACGTCATTGAGACTCGCTTGCCTGGGCCAAGCTCAGAAATACAGGTATTTTGGTATGTGAAAGGAATAGTTCTGACAAAGACGTCCTCACCATGAGCGATTCCGACGTATCAGACGAGCTTGAATGCTCAGAGCCTGAGCTGAAAATGTTTGGCTTCGGGCATGAGCCGAAATTTTCAGGAAAGGATATGGCAGCGCAAGCGGTGGCTTCCATTCGGGCTGTAAATGTGGATGACTGAGCAGAAATTACTGCAATTGGAGAAGTCGCTCTCCATCAGCAACATCTGGCAACCGGTTGGCTGGGCTATTTCGAAATGAAGTGGCAGCCAAACCAGCTCAGACAACCCTGACAATCCGTAAGTGTTTTCACAGTATAGTCCTACGTAATGCTCACAAATCAAATCGTTCTCTTCATATCGTAAATTGTGTGAAATTTTGTATTCGCACAGTACTCAGATCAATAGTCTCCTCACTCGTACTCCTGTACATGGAGTTTGCTGCGTAACATGGCTAGCATTATCTCCGTGCAAGTCGTGCAATGTGTATCGGTTCACTTGTGCTTTATCTCACATAAGTGGACTGCACTCAATTCGTATTGTGGCGAAATACATTCTCACATTTTCCATTAATCACTTAGTCTTTACAGAATGCTGAGACGTTCTCTTGTATTTCACGTAGCTGTGTACCAACAATTACGCTGTGCACTCTAGCAGCAGCAGCACAGTAGCATATTGAGTGCGTTATGCCCTACTGTGGTGTCTCATGACTGCATTACCGGAACAGCTCTGTCCTTCTTGATTATCATTCTAAAATGTGTGCACATATCCGCCTGCGCCCCACACACACGCACGCACATGTGCTCACCTTGGTGGGCACATAGTATAGTAGTCACACATGCTCACGCACGCAGACACGCAATTTCACAAGCGCGTGCGCACACGAGTGCATAAGCATACAAGTGCCTGTGCACATGCTCGTGCACGCACACATGCACGCACTCATGCACTTGGTTGCATACCCACACATCCCTCAGGATCACTAACGGCAATGCATCTACTACTCGTCATTCCATGTCCCTCCCGCAAGGGGGAGAGAATGACATGAAGGAGAACACAGAATAGATGACGTGAATATCTTTGGAATGTGATATTACATTACACAAAAGCACACACACACACTCACGCAAGTGCGCGCACACACACACACTCACGCGCATGCGCGCGCACACACACTCAGTGTCACGTGTGTGCGTGCGCACACACACACTCACGCGCGTGCACCCACACACACAATAATAATAATAATGTCTGTCTCTCACGCGCGTGCGCGCAAACACACTCACGTGCGCGCACACTCACGCACGGGCGCGCGCACACACACACTCACGCTCGTGCGCGCACACTCATGCGCGTGCGTGCGCGCGCACACACACTCACGCGCTTGCACGCATACACACAATAATAATAATGTCTGGCTCTCATCTGCATCCATACTGAGAAAACCCAACGAGTTCCCGAATAGGTGTACACCGTTGCCGGTATGTGGACTATCTTCTCTCCTTGAACTGCGGGTCATTGCGTGATGTAGCTTATCAGCAGTACATACTGTGTGTTCATACAGGAAAAAAACATGCCAGCTAGAGGCGCTGGCGCTGCAAACAGTCCTTCCTATAACCTTGGGGCGGTGGCAGTGGTCGTAGCTCAACAGTGAGTCACTGCGACCGATGGTACAGCCGCTCTTGATCTTCTTCCTGTAAAATCAAGAACAGCAATCGCAGACAGGTTCATCGATCGCACGCAGTATAGCCTAGGGAAACAGGAGATCTACTGCCGTCCACCTCATCAGGCCGGTTTCGGAAAGCTTCACATTTCGTAGTGATGTAGTCCAAAACAATTTTACAAATGCTTTGGAAAAGAAAGAACTACATACAGCAGCTAGTGTTTTTGCACTCACCTCCGCTTTTCGACTGACACTTCACAGTGTGGCGTGCGAAAAAGGACGCACCACAGTTTCATCCACCAGCGTCCGCATCGGATGAGTGCATAATATTCCTCCTGAAAATCCTCCTCTGCCAAATGGCTGGAACACACGCGAAGGATTTACATTGTAGTCCCTAAATTGTCAAGCAAATAATTATGTCGCTTGATAGCTGCTATGGTGCACTGCTCGGCCTGTGCCAAGCACAATCCTTCAGAAATTGGTGCAGGTTCATCCCAGGGGGGTTACCAGTAAGATTATAGTAGCCAACAACACAGCCAGAAGCCATGATGACACAAATACCCTCTTCTTCCATGGACAAACAGAAAGAAGATGCGAAATCCCAGTGTTTCTGGATCTGGCCAAAGCATCACCAAGTCTCAATGACGTCACGGGTTTGTGACGTCACGGCATGGACCCGAAAAGGACAATTGCAAACTGATATATCTCAAGAACGCTTGGTCGGATCGAAGTGGGACCTTCACCATTCGACTCAGCGTCCAAAACTCTACGGACCATGAAGTTTTGATTTTTGGGTGTAGTTCCCCTTTAACTCGTCCTGAAACACCCACCATGAATGGCAAAGGATGAGATAACTAGTCACGAACACGGAGCATAATAGAAACGAGCAAAATTTCATAGTACATACAGCTATAACTTCGGTCTCCCTACTTCAAATTCAACCATATGATGGCTCCTTCGAAAGCTATTGAACAAACCTTTTCGCCGATGGATCATTCCATAATTATAGCGTTAAGTAAAATACGCAAGCGCCGAAGCTAGAAGACTGAGAAACGGGTGAAGGTCGTATTTCATGCGTGTCACTGTGACGCACTTTATGCTAAAGTTGATGATGTGTTTGAATGCGGGGTTCTCCCCGAGGAACAACCCAAGCGTGACATACACCAACATAAGCGCTCGAACAGCCTGATTTTGCTGGTGCAGGAAGCGTTGCTGTACGTTTAGTATGAGTTGCAAATAAGAAGTTGTCTCTGAGTGTAGAAATGCGCTACAAAACGTGTTGGCGCAAAGTTTTTGTAGGCTGTTCTCATGGGCCTACAGAGCACCGTGTGCCGTGAATCAACAGGAGAGACCCTCAGCTTTTCAGAGAGCCTAAGATGATGGAAAAATTGCTTGTAGTGTCAGCGTGCGCCCCGTGTAGGAAGTGCTCTGACACTGAAAGGGGTATTGCTTGAGCTCCAGCACGACTGATTCGTCAGCCAGCAATTTTGACGCCGATGCGGACAGCGACCGTGACATTAGGCCTCAACAGAAGACGTGAAGTAGTGGAGTTGTATCAACTAGATCAAATGCTGCAAGTGCGTTGGCCTAAAACCAAAAATCTGCAAACTTGGACGATATAAGCGCGCGGCAGTAATACTTCTGCCGACTGCTGAGAATTATATGATGACCCAGATGGGAAAGACCCTCAGCTTCCAGCAACGGAGTAGATGAAGAGGAATTTCCTGACATGCGTGATTGGTTTCAGAAAGGCTCTTTTTGTTGTATATCGAGAGAACCGCTGATTCGGGAAAGAACATGACAAAAATTATTGGTGTAAAATAAGTTTGCTTCAGAATCACACATGCCACTTTGAGATGGGTTGTAAACACAGTTTGGGCAACTTATCATCTCTAATCACTCATTTTCATTGTTATATGTAACTCAGAAGCTGCCTTGAAACCGGCCATTTGGGAAGAATGTGAAACTGTTCCCCTCTCCACACTGCGCTCTTAGCCAGAATTCGAAACACCACCTGCTTAGCTATGGTGTGTTGAAAGTGGGCCAAGAGCACAGTGTGGGGAGGTTTATGGTTAGAAATACTTCCTCCGTATACAATATCTTCGTGACCATTTTGAACAGTGCTCTTGAGCAACAACCCGCTCTACGAACCGCACCAAAGGCTGTCATTGGCAACCCACGTTCATGTCGAAGTGAGTTTGGTTTATCCCGAACAGATCCTCCACAAAAACCATGCGTGTGAGGACGTTGCGAACAGGAACTCAAGAGTCAAATAAAAAACATACTTGCTCGAAACTGACACAGTCACAGAGTGGTGCTCACGGCTGGAACATGAAGTCACGCTGCCCCGAAGCTGGCCATGGCAGGCTCTGTACTTATAGTAGCACGACACACGACCTCATACGCAGCATGAAAACATGAAGTTGTTCGGCTTGCATGGCCAGATGAAACATTTCGGTCGTCGCGCAACCAGGCTGACTCCGGACAGGCATGTTGACGACATGGCTTTCTTTGCCTCTCTCCAGTCAGACGTTTCCTTTGTCGCCAAGGGGAATCGCAGGGACCTCATCAAAGCCATTGTAAGATTTATCCTTCCGAGAATAGGCGAAACATGTTTTGTACTTGTACGACTCGTTTCACGGCATAATGGACGTCGCGGGTCGAAGGACTGAATATAGTAGACAAAGAGGGGTACGCAGCTCTGGAGATGAAGAGGACTCATCCAAAGTGCCACATCCGATCATCTCTGCAGTTGACAAGGAGACGAGCGAAATGCATGCGGAAGCTGCGACTGTTGGAGATTCGGAGTCAGCGTCATCAGGTGGCAATGACACGAGCGAAGACGACTCTGAATAAAATCAAACTCATGCGTCCGAGTTGCTATTTTTCTTTGAATACCGCTTATGAATAGGTTTAAAAAGAATGCCACGAGTGTCATTCCAAGTCCAACTGAACAATTCCTGAGCTGTGCGCAGCCTTAAAACAGTCACGAAGTTTTTGTATTCGGAGGAAGTAAATTGTATCTCTCTTTTTTATTTAGAGAAGAAACTTTTTCCCACTCTTCTGGTCCTCTTGTGTTATCCTGGTGCTGACACCAATGGCGAGTGGAGTGTCTCCCAACTCACCACCACGACTTCTCTGTACCACTCACCTTCCCCTTGTTCTCTATTGTCGGTTTATGTTCTCTTATTTTCCCTTTCACGATGGGGAAATGTTCTTCAAATAAAACATGCAGATTATCCCATAATTGTATTGTACTCATACACTGCTTAAAGGGGAAGTCCGGTGAAACATTTAAATTTCGGGGTCGGTAGAGTTTTGGGCGCTGAGTCGAATGGTGTTGGTCCCACGTGTCTCCGACAAAGCGTTCTTGAGATATTTCCGTTAGAAAAACTGAGTTCCGGGGGCTGCGCCGTGACGTCATGCGGCCGCGCCACACCCTCCGCAACGTCATAGCGTGCAGCTAGGTCAAAAGGAGTGTGTGAAAGCAATAGTGTTAGTGCTATTTCAAATGATTTTGCGACTGATATTAGGTGGTGCGAGCGACCCCGAAGACCTAACTCCTTGTGAGAGTGAGGATGCAGCCATGGCTGACCTTCATGAGTTTGGTCTGGGGCTGAGAACCTCGGTATTCAGCTGAAGAAATGGCCGCGCGGGCCGGTCAAGAGTGAGCGCTACTAAGTTTCCGAATGATGAAGAAGCAGCAGCTATTGCAGACGAGGCTGATAAAATTATCAGATCGCTGGAGAGCAGGGTCGCCAAAATGGAGAAGGGTGATGCGAGTACACTCATACCTCGGTTATCCGGACCCCTAAGTTACGGGCACTTCGGTCTACCGGGCACTATTTGGGCGAGTTTCAGGGGAAATATTACTTTTCTTTTGTAACTGTTCGTAGAAATATTGACGTCATATGCCATATCGATGGCCTTTTCCCCATCAAGATGTATATGATTCGGAGTTGAGGACATTTCAAAGTTACGGGCAGTGCAAGGTCCCGGACTGCCCGGATAAACGAGGTATGATTGTACTCTTAATGTTGTTCCACACCGATTCGCTTAGACTCCAGTAGCCTGGCACATGGTGATTTTGGTGCGAACTTGGCATATTTCGGACTACTCAATTGGAGTACAGTGCAGGCTCTTTGAACCACGGGCACGACTCTTCGCTCGCAACGCTATGGAATCTGAAAGTTCTAGGTCCGGGAGCTGTTCGCTGTTTTGTCACTTGTCACGGTTGTGCACTCACTCATCGCTGTAGCATAACATAATGAGGCGGGACTGGAGCCGAAAACTAAAATTTTCTTTCTCAAAGCACAACCACCGGCACCGGCAAGGAGAAACGCACGTTCTCTGACTAGATGACTATACAATACGACTGATACGAGTGTAGTACATGACACGTCTGTGTGTTGACTATTTTTCTGAGTCTTGTGGCTCGAGTCTTGTTGTAGCTAGCAGCACGGCAGTGCGGGAGTAGTTCCGTGTGTGATGAGTTTGTTGTACTACACTCTACAGCTAGCATGCAGTGCATTGCTAGAGCCGTAGAGGCCCATGCATGCTGACGAAAAAAGTCCAACTCGGAAACGGATAAATTACGGTATAACCTCGAGGTTTACCGAGCTGACAATCACAGGGTACGTAGTGTTTGTAACACTGAATCGAATGGTCTTGGTCCGAAGAAGCTGCGACAAACGGTTCCCCAATCGAACGCGCTCTGAATATGGCCATTTGGTACACAACTAGATGGTGTGGCTACCTGGCTGCACGCTGTGACGTCATCACCTGGATCTGGGTGATGTGCGCTCAAATTCGCACATCTTCGATTGGGCGTATCTGACGAACCATAGGCCGCAGCTTCCTCGGACAAAGACCATTCTACTCAGCGACCCGAACTCTACGGACATTGAAATTTTACATTTTTCACCGGACTTCCCCTTTAATAATTATTTATTTTACAATGATGATCCATTCTTTTGTTTCCACAGAGCAATGCCCTGTTCTGGCTATAAACGATGCAGGATACAATACGATGACAAGAGTGGTTGGGGTAACTGTTACTGTATCTTGCAGCTCAGGATTTGAAGTAGTGGGATCTGCCGCAGTCACTTGCATGACAGGTGGCAGCTGGTCAACACTGCCGACCTGTGTCGGTGAGTTCCTCCATTACCTATCGTCCTTTGATTGCTCTCTCTCTCTCTCACTCTCTCTCTCTCTCTCTCTCTCTTTCTCTTTCTCTTTTTCTCTCTCTCTCTCTCTCTCTCTCTCTCTCTCTCTCTCTCTCTCTCTCTCTCTCTCTCTCTCTCTCTCTCTCTCTCTCTCTCTCTCTCTCTCTCTCTCTCTCTCTCTCTCTCTCTCTCTCTCTCTCTCTCTCTCTCTCTCTCTCTCTCTCTCTCTGTTGCTACAGCTCATCCCGTACTATTTTATTTATTTTTTATTTTTTTATTTCTGCACCTCGTGGCATGTCAAGACAGCCAATTGAATTGAGGAGAGGGTCAGACCAACCTCGGAAGAAGAGAAAAAAGAAAATGAAGAGCACGTACACAAAGTGGGAAGGGATTAGCAACTTACAAAGCAATGGGATGCGGAGCGAGCCATGCAGCTGAAGCGGTGACTGTGATTTTGTTTACTGGGAGATGCTGAAGTGCTGTCTGACGAGGGTACGGAATTTGGGCATATCTGGAGCTTGTCTAACACTGGGAAGCAGTTGGAGCCAAGTGGAGTAGGAGGAAAAGAAGGGGGAATTTACGAATACGGTAGACCTATCTAGGGGGAGACGAACGCAGCTTCGGGCGGTGCCACCTGACTTAAACCAATTAAGAGAGCATGTCTGAGAATACCAAAGTATGTGTGCAAGTGGATTTCTCTGATTTCGCTCAAAATTTGCATGTACGTTCCCTTGGGGGTGTGGATTGATTGTGCGAAGCCCTTGAAAAAGTTTCTGAAGGGAACCGTGAAATTTGCATACCCCTCAAAAATGGCCAGTCATTATTTATGGGTCTAGAAACGAGTCACGCCACAGCGTATACGAACAAGCTATGAACAAAACCCCATCAACCCAACATTGCCTCACCTTACAAGAGTTCCTGGAGCAGTACCGCTTAGCCACGCCAGCATCCCAGAAGACGAGGTCCATCACCGACTGACGCCACAAATGATCGTCTTGACAATAGCCAATTTACAAGCGCTGGCAAAACAGCCAGCTACGTCCTCAATTGGCCAGAACCATACACCAGCAGATAGTAGAACACCTCTTCTAGCGCTGAGGACATGTCCCCCATCTGACTTTTGGGGTTTTCTTGAAATAAACTTTTTTGAATTTCTCCACTCGACCATGCTGAAATACGGCCAAAGTCATACCTGCGCAGGAAAGCTGGCCCCTTGGCGACGTCTCCTCAGCAATGTCAACTCCAACACTACTCCAAAGGCCGCAGAACAAAGTGTATTGTTGACTCTGACAAGGAAAAGCAGCGGTGATCACTTGTCACTCCAAACGACAAGCTTCTCCTTGCGCCACCAATACCTTTTTGTGCGACTGTTGATGCAAAAGTGACTGAAGGCCTGAGCGCAGTTTTTGAATTTTATTGCAAGATGCACGGTGAGATCGCGTGCTCTGTGACGTAGGATGACGATTCCTGCATCACGATACGCGGCCATCGATCGCGAATGTGCCTGGAACGATACTCGGAACAGACCATGATGGCAGAGGTAAGATGAGCTTCATTTCCTGCTTGAACTGCTGAGAACCCCCACAAACTGTCCTAGGAGTGTTGCAATGGCAGCAAGCCGTTGAAATATGCCTCGTACAGCATGGAGAGTTATTCGTCTTTCACACTTACCTCCTGCAATCCCGAACATAGTCCAACAGTAAAATAATTATGTCCCTTGTTTTCATGTCGATACTCGACAAAAGCGGCTAGCTCGGTTTGACTGGCGCTTGGCACGCGAGCAGCACTGGCTGCACGCACTTGTCGCGTGAACTGCATGAGAGATTTCTTACGTCATAAAGAATGTGATTTCATCATCATTTCACTGGTCTTCGACCTACATGGTCAGGGAAAGTCCCGGTTCGTAGGCCTACAACACGGTCAGCGTGTTCTTGAGCGCAGTAACAACACAAGTGTGATCACTTCCAGACCAACGGGCGTTCAAGGCGAATAACAAGCGCACTTGACAAAGGTGACTTTAAAATCTCGTGAGCCCACGGCTCACGAGACTTGGCATTCTTGCGTCACAAGGCACGTGATTTCACCGTGCATCTTGCAATAAAATAATTCAAAAACTGCGCTCAGGCCTTCAGTCACTTTTGCATCAACAGTCGCACAAAAAAATATTGGTGGCGCCAGGAGAAGCTTGTCGTTTGGAGTGACAAGTGATCACCGCTGCTTTTCCTTGTCAGAGTCAACAATACACTTTGTTCTGCGGCCTTGGGAGTAGTGTTGGAGTAGAAATTGCAGAGGAGACGTCGCGGAAGGGCGAGCTTTCCTGCGCAGGTATGACTTTGGCCGTATTTCAGTATGGTCGAGTGGAAAAATTCAAAAAGGTTTATTTCAAGAAAATCCCAAAAGTAAGATGGGGGACTTGTCCTCAGCGCTAGAAGAGGTGTTCTACTATCTGCCGGTGTATAGTTCTGGCCAATTGAGGACGTAGCTGGCTGTTTTGCCAGCGCTTGTAAATTGGCTATTTTCAAGACGATCATTAAATTTTGTGGCGTCAGGGGCTGATGGACCTCGTCTCCTGGGATGCTGGCATGGCTAAGCGGTACTGCTCCAGGAACTCTTCTAAGGTGAGGCAATGTTGGCTTGATGGAGTTTTGTTCATAGCTTGTTCGTATACGCCGTGGCGTGACTCGTTTCTAGACCCATAAATAATGTGACATTTCGGCCATTTTTGAGGGGTTTGCAAATTTCAAGGTTCCCTTCAGAAACTTTTTCAAGGGCTTTGCACAATCAATCCACACCCCCAAGGGAACGTACATGCAAATTTTGAGCGAAATCGGAGAAATCCACTTGTACACATACTTTGGTATTCTCAGACATTTTTTTTTTTTTTTTTTTTTTTTTTTTACAATGTTCACACTCCCAGCTCGAAAATAATAAAGAAAGACAATGATACTGAGACTAGGACGAACGTGACAACTATTGAGCAGGGGCTGCACCGAGACGCAGCAGTGATGGTGGGGCATTGATGGCTCTGCCGACCTGAGGTCTCGGCATCACGGCCAAAAACACGCACCAAAAACAAAAGATAGAGCTGTACGAGTCAGCAAAATGAAAAGAAAGGAAGGGTTAACATCAGCGAGTGTGCGGGAGAAACTGTGAGACTATTAACAAATTACAAGGGCTGTTACTGAGAGGAGCATCATCATGGCTGATCATGGCGAGTCGGTTGTCTGAGCCAGTTGTGGTGCATAGATAGGGATAGAGGAGAACGACGAGAGCATCATCATAGCGAGTCGACTGCCCAGAGCCAGTTTGTGCTTCGAAGATGGCGATAAACATTAGTTTTGAATGCTTGCTTTCCCTTGCTGTGGGGAGGCTGGGACAGAAGAGCGGCGGGGAGGGAGTTCCAGTCACTAATACTGCAGTGTGGGAACGAGCGCTTTAATGCCAGCGGGACAGATGCAAGCAGCTGGTGTTGGAGCTGGTGGTCATGGCCAATGACGCTACCATGCTCGCTGCGAGTTCTGGGGCTGGATGAGGGGAAATGGCGCGGTGGCAAAACAGAGAGCAGCTGCGGAGGGCCAGGCAGGTAATGCAGCTTGTATAGGCAGGCAAGCGAGGCAACAGTACGACGGATGGCCAGGCTAGGTAATAGTGCACCTGGACCGATGATTCGCAGAGCACAGCGTTGGATATGATCCAGGCGTTGCAGGTAGCTGGGCGGAGCACCTATCCAGATGAGGGGGGCATACTCCATAACTGGTCGAACAAATGCCTTGTATACCGTGGTGCGGCCGGCTGGAGAGAGAATGTGCGCTGCACGGCGCAGGAAGCCTAGGCGTTGTTTGGCTCGAGTGGCAACCTTCCGGAGATGAGTGCTGAATGACAGCTTCGAGTCAAAGGTCACTCCAAGTAAAGAGAGAGCCTTCTCCTCAAGGACAGGAGTGCCGCCGAAGACAATGCGAGGCAAATTGATGGGGGTTCTGCGGAGAGTGGCGGTCATGGCTTGGGACTTTGACGGTTCGAAGGAGATGCGCCATCTGCGGCCCCACTGATGCAAGCGATCAACAGAAGTCTGGAGGCTCAATGCTGCGTCGGCTGGGGATGTGTCGAGGGATATCAGGCTGTACAAGGTAGTATCGTCGGCGTACGCCTCCAGGTGGGCTCCGGGTGACAGGGTCTCTGAGGCGTCGTTCACGTAAATCAGGAAGAGTGTGGGGCCGAGTATGCTCCCTTGGGGAACTCCTGCTGATATGGTATACAGCGATGAGGTTTGGCCTCCCACCAAGCATTGAATGGACCATCCACCTAGGTAGGAAGAGAGCCAGGTATGCAGGGGGCCGCCAATGCCAAGATGGCGGACTTTGTGGAGGAGGCCAGCATGGGACACACGGTCGAATGCTCCGGCAATATCCACGGCTAGAATACGTGCTGCACCGCCTCGGCCGACGGCTGTGATCCAGGCGTGGTGTAGAGCCTGTAGCGCATCTGAGGTCCCGAGGCGGCGACGAAACCCGAACTGGTGGGGTGTTAGGAGTTTGTAACGCTCAAGGTGATTCATGAGCTGATGATTGATAACGCTCTCCATGATCTTAGAGATTATGCTCAGCAGTAAAACTGGACGATAATTCCTTAGGGCGGATCGTGAAGATCGCTTGTGGATTGGAACCACGCTGGCAGTCTTCCACATTTGTGGCTGGACTCCGTGCTGGAAGCAAAGAGCAAAGAGCTGACACAGTGGCTTGGCAAGTTCTCTGGCGCATTCCTTCAAGACACGAGCGGAAATACCGTCGGGTCCAGTCGCCTTTGAGGCATCCAGGCGAGCTAAAAGCCGGTGGACTGCATCCGGGCGAAAGTGGACTGTCGTTAGTGCAGGTGCGTCAGCGAATGCCGTGTCCGGTAAGTCCATCGTGGTAAGGTCGCGGCCTTGCACACTGCACTTGTGGGAAAAGAAACGTGCGAAAGCCTCCGCTTTCTCATAGCTTGTGGCC